TTTTAGATTTTGAACGGCGCAATTAGTATCGATTTTATAATGATGTTTGTTTTTTTATTTTAATTTTTTTTGTGTCTGTGCAGTAAATAATAATTTCAATTTCAGTAACTTTTCCGATGAAAAGGTGAATTTAGTTGGTATAAGTGAACATTCGGAAGGTCAATATTTAAAATTCTAGTATTTTTAAAAGCACGAAAAACCTAGTAAAACAAAAAAAAATTAAGTAAAAACGAATTCGCCAAAATGAAAAAGCATATTCATTTGATATGAATTATCATTCAACTTTTCGATATTCATATTCTTGTATCTTCAAACTTAACTTATCAAAATATTAAGGTTTATGTTAATTTTTGTTAATTTATCTTAAATAACAGTAATTTTATTAATTACATTTATATTTTATTACCTAATAGATACCTGTTGTGACATCGCGATCATTAAATGAATAGGTATGATTTTTCAAGACCTAAATTGCCCAATGCCAATCAACATGACACTAAAAAAATTCAGCAATCATCACTACCAGGTCTGTTCTCTGGTTTTTCAAATAGCATATTTTCAAACCCATAATACATCATTGGTTTGGTAACAATAATAGTTACATCTTTAGTTGGTAAGTGTTATTTTTTTTCAATTTGTCAACACATACCTAATAATAATAGTTCTATTAAAACTTTAAAATTTATTTTGCAGTTTATTTTTATGGATTTTCATTTAACAGCAMACATATTCTTCTAATTAAAAGTAAGCTTAAACCTAGAGTATAGTGTAACATCAAATAATAATTTCTTTAAACCAAAGTAATCGTATAATTTTTAATTATGTTTAGGTCCACAAAATTCACCATCTACACATGTGGGTTTCTACAATAGAAGTTATTTGAGCGATCACAATAGATCACCTGCGTTGAGTCTAAATAGATGTCTTACAAGATTACAATAAATTAAATTTATTAAAACACTCAAAATTTAGTCTGAAATCAAACGGTTGTTAACTTTTTTTTTTAATGTATAATGTGAATATTATTCTGTAAATAGTATACTTATTGYCTGTTATAGACCTGTAGAATTTATATTTCTGTAATTATAATGTAATATTTAAAAAAAAAATATTAATATAAAATGTATTTGTAATTTTTTTGACACTATATTGTATGTATTAGTTGGGTAACTTTTTAATTAACAACATATTTTGATATTACTAAGTGAGTTATTAAATGTTTAAGTTTTCAGCTATATAATATAGACTGTAACACTTAATAAAACATAAATTAAAATGTTTATGTTTGCTTTCATTTTATTTGAATACTTGATATTAATAAATTGTTTTTAATTTAATATTACTTTTGTACAAATTGTGCACTGTTATCAAATTACCTAATCCTAAATAGTTTCAACTATTTATTTTTATTATTTTTTTACATTACAGTAGAACCTCTAAATTTTCTCTATTTCATTTTATAATATTATATTATATGCAACTTATAATAATTTTAATTAAATCGACAAATCAATGAAAATATTGTTTGATGATTTCTAATAATGTAATGTATTTCTGATAATCTAATGTATGTAATTCTATTAAAATATTAAATTCTAAGAATAAAAAATAAAATATAATTAATACATAATTATGTTTAATTTTTGTCCATATTTGTCATACTTAGTAATTTAATATTATAATATAATTAAAATAAATCATTTGCACATTATAATTAATACATAATTATTATTTTATTTTATTTTATATTTCCAATATTTGAACTTTCGCGTATCCAAACTAGGTGAGTTCCCAATTAGTTCGGATAATCGAGGTGGTTCTACTGTATTATCATTATTAATTGCGACTCACATTTATTTTAAACCCATATTTATATGTAATTATAACAATTTACTTTGATTTAAAATTTATTTGAATTATTTTTATTTTTATTATTTAGTATTTACCATAATTTAAATAATTTGAATTCTTTTAAATGAAACTCAAATGTTTATTAAATTTTAAATATTGGTATGTTCATATTATTTTAAGCATTACATATTTTCATTGTTATTAGTAATTAAAGATTGGAGAGTGTATGTTTCTACGCTTTAGGTGGTACAGAGTAGACCCAAGACAGTTCACCATCGGGACTCTAAAGAGATTAGGGAGATTAGATCTATTATTACAGACTTACCTACAGTTACAATAATGATAAGCTGATGGATTGAAGAACTATAGCTTGGGTCTTTTGCTTAATCTTAAATTTTTACATGAAACTCACACCCTACTGGCTACTTCAGGCAATGGAATGCATAACCAGTACCTACCTATACATAATAGGATTATTTATTTAATAGGTTAATCTCTTATTTTTTATCTTTTTATTGTCAACTATCTTATTAATAGCTGCAGTAATTAGTTACTATTTTGTATACCTACTCATGTATACTCATTTTATAAAAATATAAAACGTATTTTTAAGGCGATAGAAACTTTCCCCATTCCCAATTTATTAGTGCTCCGTAAACTCTCCTGAGTCTACTCCATTACTTCATATTGGTTATATTATGTAAACTCGGTAATAACTTTGTACATTAAAATTAAATGCTTATAAATTAAAATGCTTTAAAAATTTAATTCATTTAATAAATGTACTATACATATTTTGAATTTATTTTTAAAACAGTAAATAATTATAATTTAAATCAATTGCAAATTAAATTAAAATTTTGATTTAGTTTTTATAATTATATGAACATACAGATTTAAAAAAAAACTTAATTCGCTTTTTTTTTTGGTCTATAATATAGTCGGTAATTTTTTGCGACATAATTTTAAAAAAACTCTGGAGAATTTAAAAATTTTCTTAATTTAAACATAATGTTAAGTCATAAGAGTACACATTTCCATCAGGTAAATAATATAATGTTGACTCGGAAGAGTTTAGTAGTTTTAAAAATCGATAGAGTTTATCATTGCCCATTTTTTTTTTCTTAGAAATGATGACGGTCTATACCTACCTATTACTAAGTGATATATTGTACGATATTATTGCTAAGCATTAAAGTAATTTATTTTACAATAAGTAATACAGTAGCGTCAGTGGGTTAAAATAACTTATGTCGAAATATTGTATATTTGTATGTTG